TTCCTTTCTTTTTGTTGTTGGTCGTGGGGCTTGAACTCTGGGCCTGAGCGCTGTCCCTCAGCTCTTCATCTCAAGGCTAGTGCTCTACCACTTGAGTTACAGCACCACTTCCAGTTTTCTGGTGGTTTATTGGAGATAAGAATTTTACAGACTTTCCTGCCCGGTCTGGTTTTGAACCGCAATCCTCAGATCTCAGCCTCCTGAGTAGCTAGGATTACAGGCGTGAGCCACCTGCGCCTGGCTCCCTTAGCCTTTTCTACTCACATTCAGAGGCATTCCAGCTTTCCTCATAAGTCAGCCCCTGCCTGGGGTCCCGTTTATACCAGCCTGTCCTTGTCTACTTGGTGAGGTCTTTGCTTTCTGGCTTTTTGCTCTTTTCATCTACAGAGAGGCAGCAAGCTCTCTCTTCTTCCCACACGCCTTCCTTCCTTTCTTTTTCCTTCCTTTCTTCCTGTGCCGAAGTTTGAACTTAGGGCCTTGTGCTTGCTAGGCAGGCAAGCATGAGGTTATGTTTCAGATATGGATTTGATTTTTGCTTGAGGCTTGCTTCAGACCACAGTCCTCCTACTTGTGGCCTCCCGCTTGGGTGGGATGACAGGCATACACTGCCTTACCCTGCTTGTCTCGTTGAAATGGAATCTTTTTTTTTCTTTTTGCCAGTCCTGGGGCTTGAACTCTTGGCCTGGGCACTGTCCCTGAGCTCCTTTTGCTGAAGGCTAGCACTCTACTACTTGAGCCACAGCACCACTTCTGGCTTTTTCTGTAATTAATTGGAGATAAGAGTCTCCTGCTAGGGCTGGCTTCAAACCATGATCCTCAGATTTTAGCCTCCTGAGTAGCTAGGATTGCAGGCGTGAGCCACCAGTGCCCAGCTTGGAGTCTCGCTTTTTGCAGGCTGATCTGTACCTTCCCGGTATCTGAGAGTGCCTACACTTAGCTTCATATCTTATGCGGAGAGCGCACTGCTCACCTCGCAAAGGCCTGGTCTCCAGATTCCATTGCACTGGGTAAGGGCTTCAGCATGTGAACTCTGGGGTCAAATATTCATTGGGTACAAACACTTGGTTGATAGCAGAAAAAGCCTTTCTTTCTCTTTTTACATTGAACAAAACTTCCTTCTTGGGGTTTAGCTTCTACATCAGTATTAAGAGGATAGAAATGAGAATGTTCCCCATGAGCCACTACCCATGGCTCTGTGTCCGGCCTTTCTGGGGAACCTGTCCCTAGCCTGGTCTGTATTTTCTGGTTGTTCAGAGGCACTGTGTCTGGCCAGACAGTTACCTTCCTCAGTGCATGCGCATTGGCTCACACCTGGAATGAACTCTCCCATGATTCAAGATGCCTTGGGAATCTTTGCAAAGGTCAGTTACACAATGTCAAGGTATGAATCCTTGGCCAGGACAAGATGAAGAAAATCCTAGCCCTGCCTGATCAGCCATGGGCATTGAAAGAGCCCAGGGTGGCATGTGGCTGAGCCTAGTCACCCCCCGAGAAAGGTCATACCTCGTCTCATCTCAGACCTTGCCTTTTGTAATGAAGGTTTTTTATAGCCTACTTTCGTGGGATGAACTTTGTTCTTAATTAAGAATTCTAATTTTAAAGTGAGCTCTGACCTCTTTCTTTCCCGACTCCTCCTCCTGCTTTGATAGCATGTCCTGGCTAGAAATAAAGATCCTTTATTGTCTGTTATCTCTGTTTTTTCCTCTACCTCAAATGGCTTCATCTTGAGCCGGGCACTGGTGGCTCACGCCTGTAATCCTAGCTACTCAGGAGGCTGAGATATGAGGATCGTGGTTCAAAGCCAGCCTGGGCAGGAAAGACCGTGAGACTCCTATCTCCAATAAACCACCAGAAAACCGGAAGTGGCACTGTAGCTCAAGTGGTAGAGTGCTAGCCTTGAGCTGAAGAGCTGAGGGACAGCACCCAGGCCCAGAGTTCAAGCCCCACGACCGACAAAAAAAAAAAAAATGGCTTCATCTTGATAGACTACTGATAAAGGCCTGTAGGTCTTTATTTTCTTTTTGGGATCCCAGACCAGGACTGGAATTCTGTACCTGACACTTTGACTCATTGGCTAGTGCTCTATCAACTGAGCTACACCGCCAACCTTCCCACTCTTAGGTCTTTATTCAGATGCTAAAACAGGATGGAAGCAACTGAGACCCTTATTTAAGTAGGCGGGGCTCTGGCTAAACTATGCTCCAGCCTTCATCCCAGTAACTCCTTTAGAGTGTGGAGAAATGGGAGTTGGTAAGGTCAGTGCTCAGGACAGAAGTTACTTTCCACTGGAGAGTGTTGTTGTTTTTTCTGGGAGTCACTGTTGGTATGACAGGAGCCCATGTACTTCCAGCAGGAGGGGCCAGGGTCCTCTCGGTGACACAGCCACAGAACTGAGCGGTAGCTCCGCCAGGTGCACACATTGCTGAGTGCAAGGATGTGTCTGGCAAGCCTCAGGAAGCAGCTGGTGCCCATCAGTGGAACAGGTAGCAAACTGGAACTACACATGTGGTGTGTCTTGCGATCTAAAAAATACACACTGGACAAGAAAAACAGGTGACACAGTATAGTTTAATACCATTAATAATAGGCTTGAGAGCAGATCAACATTTCTGTGATCTTTCGCTATACAGAAGGAGTGGAGGCATAATGGAAGGCAAGGCAAGGTGAATAATCAAATTCAACAGTGGCCACTTGGGGCTGGGAAGGTGGCTCAGTGGTAGAGTGTTTGCCTCACATGCATGGGGCCCTGGGTTCGATTCCTCAGCACCACATAAGCAGAAAAGCTGGAAGTAGCACTATGGCTCAAGTGGTAGAGCGCTAGCCTTGAGCTGAAGAGCTGAGGGATAGTGCCCAGGCCCAGAGGTCAGGCCCCACGACCAGCAAAAAAAAAAGAGTGGCCACTTCTAGGATATGTGCCAGTGCTCATGACTATAATCCCAGCTACTCAGGAGGCTGAGATCTGAGGATCACAATTTGAGCCAGCCCAGGTAGGAAAGTCCATGTGACTCCAATTAACTACCAAAACACCACAAATAAAGCTGTGGTTCAAGTAATATAGTGCCAACCTTAACTGGAAAAAGCTAAGGGACAGGGCCCAAGCCCTAAGTTTCGGTCCCAGCACTGGTATATTTAAAAAAAGAAAAAGAGCAGCCACTTTGGTGAGAGGGAAGTGAAGTCTTAGGTATTCATAAGGGACATTAATGGTTTCTCTTTTTTATTGTTTTGTTTTTTGGGGGTCCGGTTGTGGGGTCTGAACTCTGGGCCTGGGCGCTGTCCCTCAGCTCTTCAGCTCAAGGCTAGTGCTCTACCACTTGAACTATAGTGCCACTTCCGGCTTTTTTCTTTTTGCTTATGTGGTGCTGAGGAATCGAACCAAGGGCCTCAGGCATGCAAGGCAAGCACTCTACCACTGAGCCACCTTCCCAGCCCTATTGTTTTGGTTTTGTTTGTTGTTTCTTTTTGGTGTCTTTGATATACTAAGGTTTGAACTCAGGCTTCAGATTTGCTAGGCTGGTGCTCTATTGCTGGAGCCACCCCCCAGCCTTTTGCTCTTTTGTTGTTGTTTGCTTACTGTACTGAACTAAGGGCTTTGTGCTCTAACTTTGGCTTTTTCTCTCATGGCTGGCTCTCTACAACTTGAGAACCACACCTTCATTTCCAGGTTTTTGTTTGTTTTTCCAGTATCTGGTGATAAGACTCTCACAGATTTGTCTGCCTGGGCTGGCTCTGAACCACAGTTCCCAGATCTCATCTTTCTGAGCAGCTAGGATTATAGGCATGAGCCACCAGCACCTGGTTATTTTTTTTTTTTTTATTTTTTTGGGTCCGGTCGTGGGGCCTGAACTCTGGGCCCGGGCGCTGTCCCTCAGCTCTTCAGCTCAAGGCTAGCGCTCTACCACTTGAACCACAGCACCACTTCTGGCTTTTTTTTCTTTTTGCTTATGTGGTGCTGAGGAATCAAACCCAGGGCCTCAGGCATGCAAGGCAAGCACTCTACCACTGAGCCACCTTCCCAGCCCCACCTGGTTATCTTTGAGATAGGATCTTACTCTTTGCCAAGCCTACCTGAGCCATCCTCCTCCTATTTATGTTAGCTAGGATGACAAATCTATATCACCACTCCCAGCTTTTTCTTTCTGTGTTGTTGTTGGTGGTGGTGGAGCTTGAACTCAGGGCCTGGAGCTGTCCCTAATATTTTCTGCTCAAGGCTAGCATTCAACCATTTTGAGCCATATAGATCCCTTCTGGGTTTCTGGTAGTTAATTGGAAAGAGGAGTCTCACAGACTTTCCTGCCCATGTTGGCTTTGAACTATAATCCTCAGATCTCAGCCTTCTGAGTAACTAGGATTACAGGCATGAGCCACAATTTCACAGCCAGCTTTTTCTATTAAGGTAAATTCTTGGAGTCAGGTGCTGGTGGCTCGCACCTGTAGCTACTCAGGAGGCTGAGACCTGAAGATCATGGTTCAAAGCCAGCTGGTGCAGTCCATGAGACTCTTATCTCCAATTAACCACCAGAAAACCAGAAATGGCACTTTGACTCAAGTGGTAGAGTGCTTGCCTTGGGCTGAAGAGCTCAGGGACAGTGCTCAGGCCCAGAGTTAAAGCCCCATGACCAACAACAGCAACAAAAAAGATAAGTTCTTGGGAACATTTTGGCCAGGTAGCCTGGAACTTGATCCTCCCATGCCTGCCTCCACGTAGCTGGGATTATAGGTAGGAGCCACCAGCGCTGAGCCTCATTGAGTTACTTTTCACTTTGCTACTTACACGTGAGGAGGAGAAATTATATGCTCAAGGGAATCTTCACATTTCCAGCATATCTTGTTCATCAATTACAATGCCAGTAGCCAGAGGTAACAAATGCTTCCCAAAGCAGAGGGATGAGGGGAAATGTTGTCCTTCAACATGGTTGTACAATCCTTGCTGTAGCCTCCTGCTCACTCAAGGCTGGTTATGATGTCATGTTCTGAGATCAATGTTTGCTTTCCATTAACAGCATGGCCGAACCCCCCTGCATCTTGCTGCCAATAAGGGCCATCTTTCTGTGGTCCAGATCTTGCTGAAGGCTGGCTGTGACCTTGATGTGCAGGATGATGTGAGTAGAAGCCATCATTTGATCTGAGGAGGGTTGGAAATTGTCTGTCAAAAGAAATTTTGTTCCTTTACCCTGGCTAGCCTTAAACCATAATCACCCAATCTCCATCTCCCAAGTAGCGAGGATTACAGGTGCAAGCCCCCATACCTGCCTGGCCGTGTGGTAGAATTCCTCTAAGAAATAAGCAATTTTGCCGGCACTGGTGGCTCACACCTGTAATCCTAGCTACTCAGGAGGCTGAGATATGAGGAT